TGGCTGGACGCGATGCGGCGACGTCATGTTTGATTGGTTTGCATGCTGGATTTGTTTGCGAGGGACGCGACTCTGCCGTATTGTCGCGTCGTTGTCTGGATGCGCGATAGAAGTCGCTTGGTAGAAGAATGTGGAATGTACTCTGGTTACTTCCACACTCATTGACGTTCAAAGTCTTTGTGGTTGGTCGCATATAGGCCACGTTGAGAATTATCGAGCTCTGTAACCCTGGGTTCACCAGCAGCCTCCCCACCACCACCACCCACTCTCACTCCTCCCACATCACCATATAAATCCCCGCCAGCCACCTCCACCTGCGGGAAACACATACATACGCACCCTTCTGCGCACCATGGCAGACACAGAGCCCAGCCTCGTCGCCAGCGCCCTCGGCACCGCCGCCTACGCCTTCACGAAAGTGCAACCGCTCCTCCCCGTCTACTTGCACATGATCCTCGCCTCCCTCTTCCCCATCTACGCCGCCGCCCACGCCTCGCTAACCCGCCCCTCCACCGCCGCCAAACCGCCCAAGAAAAGCCGAAAAGACACCGGGCGCGCCGCTGCAGAAGATGAAGACAGCGACTCTGATGACGAGGATGAGGAGGATGAGCCGGAGAACGAGATGGAAGGGCTGTCGCCGAGACATATTATCCTCTTCCCGCTTTTCGCGGGGATTTCGCTGGCGACGCTGTATTTCTTGTTGAAGTGGCTTAAGGATCCGAGTATATTGAGTAAAGCGCTTAATGCGTATTTTGCTGTGTTTGGGTTTTTCGCGGTGACGAAGTTGGTGGGCGATGTGTTGGATATTGGGCATTCGATTATATTTCCGAGGAGACATGTACTGCGAGGCGCGCTGTACCATGTTGATGGCAAGGCGGGGAGGGCGGTGCCTGTCGCGGGCAACACCAAGGTCAGCGGACCTATCACCAGCCCGTTACCCGGTTTCTTCGCGCGCATACCGCTGTCCGATGGAGCGAGACAATGGCTCTGGGCTGACCGCGCGATGCCTTCCAACAAGTGGACACTGAAGCTGTATCTTGAGCGTGCGCTGGCGGGCAAAGCTCGAGTAGGCGCGCACACGCTGGTTGGTGCTGTGGTAGCGCTGGCTACGCTCGTCTACTTCAACCTGGTGGACAAGACGTGGTATCTCACGAACCTACTCGGTTTCAGTTTCGCATATGGCAGTATCCAAGTCATCAGTCCGACGACGTTTGCGACCGGGAGTGCGATACTAGTCGGCCTGTTCTTTTACGACATCTACATGGTCTTCTTCACGTACGTACTTCTCCTCCTTCACCCGTTTCCACCGAACACTGCTAACATCACTTTTCTTCTTCTAGTCCTCTCATGGTAACAGTAGCATCCTCCCTCGACGTCCCCATCAAACTCATGTTCCCCAAACCCGGCACCGCAACCACGCCCTCGGGCAAGAACGCCGCTGCCATGCTCGGTCTAGGCGATATCATCATCCCTGGCCTCATGATAGGCCTTGCACTGCGCTTCGACCTCCACCTCTTTTACCTCCGCCGCCAGAAACGCGTCCCAGCAACAACTGAAGGAGGCGAGGACACAGTTGTGAAAGCAGAGTTTACACCCCTGGCCGGCCGGTGGAGCGACCATTTCTGGACGCATTCACTCATGGGACGCCCGCTGTGGTCTTCTACCGCACCCCAAGCCAACGAGAAAGAAGAACCGCCGTTTACATTCCCCAAGACGTATTTCCACGCCTCGCTCGTGGGCTATGTAGGCGGTCTAGTCGCCACGTTCGCCGCGCTGCATCTTATGAACCACGCGCAACCTGCTCTCCTCTGGCTCGTCCCAGGCGTGCTGCTCAGTCTCTGGGCGACTGCGCTTGTAAAGGGGGAGATTGGTCTGATGTGGCACTACAGCGAGGAGATTGTGGAGGAAGCGACCGAGGTGGGCAAGGAAGCGACGAAGAGGACGGGGCAGCTGTTTAAGGAGGATGGTGGGGATGCGGTTAGGAAGCCGGCGACGGGGAAGTCGAGGAGGCCTGAACGTGAGGTTTTTTCGTTTTCTATTGAGGGGCCGCGGAAGGTTGGGTCGACGGCTGGGGGGAAAGAGGATGGGAAGGGTGAGGCTGGTGTGGAGAAGGAGGGGAATGGCACGACTGTTCCTACGACTGTGAAGAGTCAAGTTTGGACTGGTTCTGAGGCGCATACTTCGGCGAGGGAAGAGGGGGGTGTTGAACCTGCTGGGAAGAGACTTAGGGTTAGGTAGGAGAAGGGAGGATATGCGAGAAAGAGGGACGAGAAAAGAGAAGGTTATGTTTGACAATACATCTTATGCATAGCGATGGAGTTTGGGAAAACTGGCATATATCGTCCTGCAAGACAACTTTTACATGCTCAGGTCAGATCTTTGATGAACTACGGGATTATCCCTTCATCAATCCATCTCATCTACATCAACAATCCCCCCTTGTAACAGCCACACTTTGCCATTCACCCCTTCTACCCTCATTCATCCTTCCTCCCTTTAAACCGCACACATCCACCGCATCAACACACATCCACCGCATCCATCATCATCATCATCATCACTTCCCACACCCCCCGCATTTCTCCCCACTACCACCTTCCCCGCGGTTGATATGTGAGCAGTGAGGACATAGCCACTCGGACATGTGTGACATGCTGGGATTTCGATGGGATGGAGTTGATTTGGGAGACGGGTATTTTGTGAGTGGCTGGATGATGCTTTTGAGGCGCACGATTTGGTTGGATTTTGGGGACTTGCGGGAAGTTCGGGGAGTTTTCATTCTTTGCTTGGTTGGTTGCTGCGGTGGTTGTGATTTGGAGGGGAGGTAGGTAGGTAATGGTGCAGGGACTGGGAAAATTGGTGATACAGGTTAGAAGGGTGGGAAGTTTGGGTTTGCGAGGGGTGGATATGTGAAGGGGAGGGACATTGTTTGCTAGAGATGAAAGCTTGGTTGTGAGTGTGGCACATTGTACATATCGTCACTGCGCCACAAATCAAGGAAGCGAGATATGGCATGGATGAATCGGCATGCCCAGAGCTTGTTTCGATATCAAATCAAGACATCTTGACCATGTACCAAGACACCTCCTCTAGCAAGTCGCAACCTCTTCAGCCTCCACATTCACACCCGCCTTCCCCTTCCCCCCCATCTCCCCCTTCAACCCCCCCAAAAACCCCGTCGAAACATCCACCGCCGAGCTCTCCCTGCCAAAACACCTCACCGCGATTTCCACCTCCTTAACCGCACAAGCCACAGCCAAATCCAACCTCCCATGCCTCCTCCACCCCACCGCGGCATCATGCCACGCAAGCCCCAACGCCTCCCCCACCAACCCCTCCTCTTTCAGCAACCTGCACAGTTCCAACGCGGCCTTCGGCACAGGCCGTCTCCACAGCTGGCGCCGCCCCGTCCGGATCCGCGCGTCCAGCACCACCATTCGCGCGCGCCGGGTATCGCTTACGGGGGTGGGGTCGCTGCATGCCGGACAAGTACATATAAACCCGTAAGAAGAGAGTTTTGCGCGCCGTGATAGGGTGGTTTGGTAGGGGCGCTCGTAGCTTAGTTTGATTTGGGAGCCTGAGGGGATGGGCACGATGGCGTGGATTGTGATTTTTGCGGTGAGTGGGTTGTAGGCGAAGGATGCGTTGGGGATGCAGCTGTGGTTGAAGCGTGCGGCGAGGGGGCAGATGGATGTGTTGGAATTGGTTTGCCAGGCGTTGGAGTTGAAGATGTCGATTACTCTTGCCTCTTCTTCTTCTTCTTCTTCTTCTTCTTCTTCTTCTTCTTCTCCATTCTCTTTCAATTTGTAGGTTTTCTGGGCGTACAGAGATAGATACTGGGTTTTTTGCGAGGAGTCCAATGAAGCAAAAGCTGAGACTACGGCGCTGTTGCTGCGCGGTTCTGCGACGCTGAATAAGGGTGTTTCGCTAAGAATGAGCGTACCCGGCAGGATGGTTGTGGTCGCGAAGCAGCCTAGTCCTTCGCCTGGGGAGGCGCGGACTGTGTATACGCTGTCCATTGTGATTTTTGAGAGATGGTTGTGGCTTTATTAGTTGCGTCTCAATCTTTGGTCCGCGGTGAGAATTTCGATTGTAAGTGTATAGTTGCTGCGGTAGTGCAGCTTGGTGTTAGAAGATACATTGTGTTCGATATGTGCGTGTACGATAATTTGGTGGCGGCTGTTGTGGAAGTATATGGTAATCGGAGGCAACAGTGTTTTGCAGCTTTGTCACCTTCGTGTTCGGCCGTGCCTGTCGAGATGGATGCGAACTAGCGTGGTGACGTCATGGGTACGGCTACTTTCTTCTCCTGCGCGCGTGGATAAGTCATCATGTGGCGTCTTCATCACGAAGATTGAGGTATTTCGACTGTGTTCAGATTGGATTGCGCGTGAGTGATAGAGTGTCAGCATACGCGCCCAACGCGGGACGCGTCGTTTGGGCATTGCGGGCCCGCTGCTCCCTTCCGTATACTGCCGTCGTTCCTCCTTGATTGTCACAGCGGGGCTTCAAGTTCGCAACGACGAGTCATTTCTTTTGTCGTTTCCTTGAACCGCGCCCGGTCCTTCTTTCGTCACTTCCATCTCTCCTCTCGCTTTCTTTTCGTTGTTCTCATTACACTCTCTTCGTTTTGACTACTCCATCCCGCGGCGCGATGTCGGACTTCCAGGATCCCATCGACAATCGCATCAAACGCGAGCCAAGCGACGAACCACAGGGACGCGTCGACAACTACCCACAGACCTACCACGGTTATGATAGCTATCATATTAGACGTGCGCCCAGTCGTGAGCAGCAGGAACGTCCTCGCAACCACTGGGGCGACGACATCAAACGCGAAACAAGCCGGGAGCGAGACGACCGTCCAAGCAACCGCTGGGGAGATGAACGCAGACGCGAGCTTAGTCGTGACCGACATGATCAATCACGCGACCGCCGGGTCGATGATCGCAGGCGCGACCGCAGCCGTGATCGCGAAGACCGTTCACGTGACCGTCTGGATGATAGGTCATGATAGACGCGATTCGAGGCGCGCATTCGATGATCGACAACGCGATCGCTCAAGAGACGGCTTCAAACGTGAACCCAGCTATGAGTATGAGCGTCGTCCACGCAGTCCTTTGGGTGATCGGGATGAGCAACCGATATCCGGTCGCGGTGACAGCAGCGACCGTGAATGCAGCCCTTTGACTGGAGACGATGAGCATGACGATCGAAAGGACAGCACGAGGAGCATTAGACGCGACTTGACCAAGAACTACACCAAAGAGAACGACCCGTACTGGTACCCCGGCAAGGTATAGAAGAGAGACAAGCTGAGTAACATGTTGCATGCCTAACCAACACAAGGGAAAATACTCGCACCCCACCAAGATGCCCTCTCAGAACCCGCACGACCCCAAACCACGCAACCCGAAGCGCACCCAGAGCTGTCGCACCGAATCGCCCGGACACCGTCACGAACGTATCGAGCGGAAGCATGACCGTCGAGAGGACGAAAAGGAACGTCTGCTTAATGGCGACATTGGAAGTAATGAGTCCATTTGCTGCCTTCTTCTATATCTATACGATTCATTGGCTAACCGTACTGCCCTTTTACAGCCCCGCCTCCCGACGCCGGTCCCAACTGGGCAAAGAACCGTATTGCGACTTTGGAAAAGTACGCCAAGAGGACAAAGAAGAGGCACAAGAAACATGAAAAGCGTATGCGCAAGGCAGGAGAGCAGACTTAGGCTTGAGAACAGAGCAAGGAGTGCGGTAATCCGTGGGGATCAGAGCTGGATGCTGAGCGCGTAGAGGCGGTTCGCTCAGATCACGGCTATGCTAAGATAGCAGCGACATGTATTATCTCGATATACTTTTGTCGTAGCTATTACGAAAAGGATTGTCGTCTCAGAGCCTATACTGTCAACTTTGGACTTTGCAGGTCGAAAAGACCTCCCGCCGTTCGTACAGAGCGGGCATTTCCCGTGCTCGTCGTCGCCTTTGCCTGTCTCTGCATCAACGTCATTTTCGTCAATGTGATACGCAACAGTGCGAGGTACCGTCGGGCATGCTTATGCATCCCTTTTCGCATATATCATACGATGGGAATGCTAAGGATACCTGTCTTGGAAGGTGAAATGCAACATCGCATGCCGGATTCCCGCTGGTTGTCGTCATCGAGGTTGCTGTACTACACCATGCGTGTCGATCGGAGGTGCTCACACGCACGGGATTTCTCTACAAGGTCGACAGGGAATCTTTATATGCAGTCTCTCGCGTAGTATTGGAAAGGATAACGAGAAGGTTCAAGTGCGACAGGCTGATTTACAACCCTGGAAATCTGCGTTCAGCGCTCGCTACATGATGGGAAGAGATATCACGTATGCTCTTCTACATACAGACATTTCACAGGTTCTACTCAGCAAACGAGACCTGCCCCTTCGAAAGAGCGGTGTAGACAACCCCGGCGTCTACATTTTCGTTTCAATATACAAAGGCATGATGTTGCTGCTGTACTACAAGCGCTAACCGATGTATCCACGACCAGCTCCGCGGCAACATCACCAACGACCAGAAACGCCCTCGAGGTCAACAGTATAAGAACACGTCCTCGCACGCAGGTAATGGAGGCATCACGTTCATCACACGATACAACTCCTGCACTACCAATCTTTACATAACCACTCACTCCAAAACTTCCCTCGCCTAACCATCCACCATGTCTGGTAATAACAACAACAACTCCGGCAACACCGGTGGCTCCAAGGGCTCTACCCCAATGGGCCAGTCTGATGCTAGCAGGATCCAATCCTCGCAGGTAAGGCACTCTATCATGCTTCGCTGAACTTTTTATCTGTTACAATGCTAACATTCTCTTCACCTAGGCCAAGTCCGGCGGAGACATGTCTTCCGGCGGCTTCGCTGCTCGCGCCCAGGGTGCCGGAGACCGCAACGCGAACGCTGGCGGTCAACAGAGCGGCGGCACCAAGAAGTGAGATGTCATTCGAGGCACACTCTAAGAGCGACTTAAGACGGAACGGAAGGGACTTTCATTGAGGGAGGGCTTACTGTAGGCATTCAGAATGTCTACGCGTTAGCTTTGATCGGGAGTAGATAGAACAAAATGTGAATGTGTTCATACAATAACTAACCGAGCTGTTAATTACCGTACATACTACAATAGCAAGAGAAGTGTGATTTGCAGATTTAACGAGGACCTTGGCTTCTACGTCGACGCTAGGTCTCTTTACATGAACATAGTTCTTGTTTGGGTACCCGTTTAGACCTGCCTCGTTGTATAGTAGTACGCATCGAGCTGTCGCTATAGCTTCTCAATCGCGATCTTTACTTTTGTCGCAACAGATTCTTATAATAGAATTTATGAAGGAAACGAGAACACTTTGCTGCGCTGACGTCGGGACAAGATCAACGGAAAAAGTAACTTACCTAGGTACCTAGGTAGCGCTGTGTGGCATCATCTTGCACTGGCTGGCATCGTGCTGGCAGTAGACTGAATCGCTGGAGGCTGTGAAGGTGCGCAGTTGTCGATGCAAGTACGATCACATAGAATGTTGTTTCAGATCACCGAAGATGGTGCCAGCAATTTCAGGGTCGGTGACGAAGGGCACATAGTGGGGACGTCAGGGGTAATGATGTGGGGGTGACGTAGCCGTTTCGCGGCTACGGCACGGGCACCACCCCACCTGTAGCCCCATGCAATGAGGGTGACACAGCTGCAGGGCCTCTTGATCGGAACGCAGTGCGTGGTATATATTGTTTTCGAATGCCACATCTGGTACCTGTAGTTCTTAACTCCCAATTTCCCATTTTCAGCAATTTCTTGAGCAATCTGACGCTGGGTATTGACCCTTCCGTTTATTCCAGGCTTCGCACTCAACCCTCTCGAATGACATCATGAACTCCGATGCAGCAATGGCATCATCAACGGAGACCCGCCAGCAACTCCACACTCCCCCTCCGGATTCCGATGAGCACGGGCCCAAAGTAACGGGTATCGAGGAGACGTCGGTCAAGTCGTCTGAACCAGCTGAACAAGCGCAAACGCCCAACCTCAAGCGACCGGCACAGGACGACGACGATGCCGAAACGAAGACGCCCTCAAAGGTAGCGAGGAAAAGCGAAGCCTCACGTGGACCAAAGACGCCTAAGAAGCCAGCACAGTCCGAAGAAGCGCTTGCGAAAAAGCTCGCGTCGGCCAAGAAGAAAGAGGAAGAGGCCGCAGTCAAAGCCGCAAACGCTGCGAAGAGAAAAGAAGCTGCCGATGCAAAGAAAGCCGAGAAAGAGAAGAAGAAGCAGGTCGCGCAATGGAAGAAAGACTGGAAAGAATGGGTATCCAACAACCAGACCTACGAGGAAATCACTTCAGGCGAGCTAGGAAAAAATGTAAACGTCAAAAACGCGAAGGCTTTCTTTGACCTGAAGCCAGATGAGCTCAAGTGCATCCCACATCGCCCTTCCGTGAACGCATTCAACCAGATGCCCCAGAAGGACTACCGATGGGATGATTGTGGAAAACTAGCCTTTCGTAAAGAAGCCATACTCGCTGGTATCCCACAGGACAACGAGCAAGAGTTCCTCGCCAAAGGAAAGAAGTTGTTCGCTGATAAGCACGCCAGAGGGTAAGCGACCGATGCACACAACATCTGCAATGATGCTAACACTCTCCAGTAATTACGACAACCTCTTGTACGCCAAAGGGGGAAGGACCGGGGCGGAAATTGCACGCTACAAAGAATCGATGCGACAAGACGAACTCAGGCGGATGCGCGAGGATGAGGAGGATAGGCTGATGTGCGAGAAGTATGGGGATGACCATAACCGGAGTGGCTACTAGACTCTCAATATTCTGAAACCCCTAACCTTGACCTTCGGCTTCGTGCAACAATCCTGTTTTGGTGAATCAGAGTCTCGTCGGGACGTTGACGGGAAGGCTACCAAAGTCGTGTCGTTCTAGTGCACCACCACGCGAAACGATCTCGATTATGCTGGTTATGGTAGTCTACCAATACCTCAATGCGTCTTGACGTGGCAGTCAAGATAACTGTTTGGTACTTTACCCCTCATTGTGCAGCAAATCTAGACCTTGTTCGGAAGGCCGTTTCGTTAAGAGGCACAGTTGTTCCAACGTCTTTATTCCAATAGTGCCTTCATCGCATTGTCTTATATGTCTTAAACTTCTCCCAAAGACATCGTGCGGGTGTCTTACCGCTTCTTCTTTAAGTAACGCTCTTTCGCATCCACCCAGTATGCCACTCCATCGCCGCGACTCCAAAATGGTGCAGGAAACGTCACAACCCCTCATCAAGGAGGAACCCACCTCGCCTACCCTAGCACCCGAGCTACTCACCCCACCTTCCTCAGCCATCAATATCAAGTCAGAGCCTTTGTCATTGAAGAGCGAGGTAGAAGCTTCACCTTCGGTAGCGAAGGCATCGAAACGCAAACGCCCAGCTACACCCGATGATAGTGACGATGAGCCGATCAGCCCCGTGCCATCGAGCAAAAAAGCAAGGGCTGCCGTTACACCAGTCAAGATAGCACCCAAACCGCCCACAACCCCCGTGTCATCGAAGAAGGAGGTCGAGCCTCCCAGTATACCAATCAAAACAGAACCCAAAACGCCCATTCCGACCCCCGCAGAACTAGAAGCCGCCGCGAAAAGAGCTCGAGAACAAGCTGAACATAACGCGGGGTTAAGAGCAGCATTACTGGAACCACTGGATACTCCTACCCAGTGGAAGCGGAACTGGAAAAACTATATCTTTCGCAACAAACGAAAGAATCCCGAAACGTTAAATGCATCTGCGACAACATGTATCAATGTATCCAAATCCGAGAAGTACTTCTGCTTGAACAAGAACGACCTTGAATGTCTTGCATTCGAGTCGAGGCCTAACCCCAAAGACCCCAGGCTCCCGCGAATGCGTTTATACGACTACAACGAAGTGGTGCGTCTGGCTTGCAGGAAACTCGCTATTCAAGCTGGTATTTCCCAGCGCGATGAGACGGCGTTGATCGCGCGTGGGAAGGCGATGTTGGAGAAGAAGAAAGGGTTCAAGTACTATTGGGAGTTCGATCCTTCCATAGTGTGGATGTGGGATTAGCGTGTGGTAGTGACGGGTTCGTATGTTGGAAGCTGAGGAGGGGGGGTTGTAGGCTGCATCGCCAGATCCATGTGTTAGTCTTCGCAGAATGGGAATCACAATGTGCAAGCATGTCGATGCAGAGAGCTAGTCTTCAAGATCGAAAAATTCATCATTCGTATATGCATCTTCATCGAGCTCTCGGCTCGTAATATACTATCTTCCATTTAATCTGCGCCAGCTCTTGCCAGCCGATTCCACTGCCCACCCATCGCGCACTGTGCGTATCGCAGCCTCGTACAAACATCTAGTACACGTAGAAGGTCATGTTCTCGCTATCCTGCTCCCTGAGCTTCTTGTTCTTACGCGTGAAAAGAATCTTCGCCAGCCACGCCAACAGCGCAGTCGCAACGGAAAAAGCAGCCGAGGAGCTAAGCGCAATGATGTAGCGGGGTTCGTCGGACTTGGGCCATAGGTATGGTGTCCTATTATCCATATTAGCAACCGATTCTTTGCGGTGATGAAGAAGAGGTAGAAGGGGAACTTACCAGATAAACGAAGCGTTCATAACCGTCGTCACAATACCGATAGCAACAGCCTTCTTCTCAGGCGTCTGACCGCATGTCGATCCGCACCAACCCAGAATGAGCGAGTTGACACCGTAGGTACCGATGGTGAAGATGATCATAGCGACGTAACGACCCGCAGTACCAATCTCAGCACAAGCCAGACCAAAGCCGAAGGTAGCAACAGCCTTGGAAATGGTAATGTGCCAAGTGCGCTCGTTGAACTTTCCAGAAGACCAGGACACAGCGATGGTGACAACACCAGCAATGAGGTAAGGCGGGCAGGTCAAAACCAAGGTGATAGTCTTGCTAAATCCAAGCGTCTGGACAACGGTAGGGAAGAAGTTCTTGAACCCGTTGGCGGCAAGATGCATGTGAGCCATGAAAGCGAAGATCCAGACCATGGGGTCCTTGCCTGCTTGACGGAAACCAGCCCAGACGGACGTCTCTCCCTTGTTGCCGACGGTGTCGAGGGCCATGCGGTTGGTGGCTAGGTCGCGCTCTTCTTGTGTGAGCCACCATGTGTTGTGCGTGAAGTCTGCAGAGGTACGAAGTCAGTATATGTCTCACATGCACATTGTATAGTCAGGAGAACTTACCAGGCAGCAAGAAAAATCCAACAACGGCGATGACAAAAGTGACGGCACCTTGCAAAATGAAGAGCCAGCGCCATCCCGTGATGCCAGCGACGTCGCCGAGACCGTGGAAGATGCCTGCGGCGATGAGGCCGGCGAAGGCGGTCGCGAGGATGTTTCCGGTGTAGAGGATGGCAATGCGGGTGGCGACTTCCTTGCGGGTGTAGAACATGGAGAGCAGGTAGACAGCACCGGGGTAGTAGGGGGCTTCTGTTACACCGAGGAAGAAGCGGGTTAGAAGGAGGCCGGTGAAGTCCTTGGAAAGAGCTGTCAGGGCGGAGACGACGGCCCAGAGCATCATGCAGCAGCCCATGTAGCGCGATGGACGGGTTCGGTTGAGGAACATGTTACTGGGGATTTGGCCAAGGAGGTAGCCGACGAAGAGAATGGACACGCAGGTTTGGTACTGTTCGCTGGTGAGGTTGAGATCCTCTTCGAGGTCGTCGAGGCGGGCCAGTGCAATGGCATTGCGGTCTAGACAGAGCGATGTGTAAGTAAGTGCTTCCAAAAAGATCACTGTGAGAGAGGAGTGACATACCAAGGTAGTTGAGCCAGTACATGCTCCACAACATGGGCATAATCCATCGGTCGAGCTTCTTGACAAGCGCAATCTCTCGGGGATCAGTCTTCTCGTAAGCACCAGAGTAATCCACCTTGCCGACAATGGGCACAGGCTTCATGAGCTCTTCATCCCGAGTCATCGTCTGCTCGAGCATGACGACATCGTTCTTCTTCTCAGACATGATGGGTGGTGTTCAAAGAACCTCTCTGAAAAGATGAGAGTATGAGGTGTAAAGGGTGTGGGTAAGACGCCCGTTGGATCACCGAAGCCTGAGCTGGTTGATCTGGGGAAATCAACAATCCGGGGGACGTGGAGTAGCACTCTTATACACCTCCATCCCCGCCCTCAGCGTCGCACAAGTGCGGTGGATCCCATACTTCGCCCCAGATCCTTCTCTACAAGCGATGTTCCGAAATCACACGACAATTGTCTAGGTACCTCCGCGCATGCATGCGTTCCAAGACATGGTAAGCGCGCTTCTTCCGGCCGCCTTGGACACACTTGAGGCTGAATGGCGCTGGGGGAATGGGGTCGCGGGGTCCCCGAAGGCAAGTCTGCCCGCTTGCTTGGTCTTGGAGCCTGACTATCATTGTGCGTTCTGCCGAATCGCGAACATGCAAACGTGCGGCACACAAGCTCGCAGGGCGTACCCTAGGTGCTGGGCGTGCTTAGTGCCAGGTTGGCTTTGCCGCCTCCGGTGGTTTTTGGCAAGGACAGGTATGTCGGAGCCGGTGGTTGGTGGTCTCGTGTTCGGTCTAGTGGTGCCCGCATCGTGAACTTTGCTGTTCAGCGGGGAGTAAGCGCTCACGTCGCGTTGGTACAACCTTCAAAGAGGTATGCAGCACTTTGGCATAGAGTCGAGGCTTCCATCATATCATCCCTTGCTCTTGCTTCTCCCCAGTCCATCCTGGCTGACGTCGCAATGAGGACACGAAATACGGTACTCGTCCCGGGAAGGTAACCCGCAAAATACCAAGACTCTTTCCTAACATGAACGTCGCATTGATACTCCGAGCCCACTACTCATGACTGGTTCCGGTGAGGAGCCCAGCCCCGACCCTGGAGTCTTCGTGGTCTTGTCGCAGAGAAAAAGCACATTGGCAAGCCACCGAAATCTTGGTGTTGCGCCATGTCGCGCGAGGTCAAGTGTTTTCATAGCTTGTCAGTCGAGGCCAACGTCGCACATGGGCCTAGGCCAAGGGGGCCGAGACAGGTCCAAGATCTTGAGCATGCGCTGCATTGCGGGGAAAACTAGATGGCGTGCACGCTTGTCGCACGGATGGGGTGTTAGACGCGGTCTTTCGGTGCGTGGTTTATGGGTCCCACCAGGTTTCTGGATGACACAAGTCCGCGGTGGGATTGGTTTGCAGTTTAGCCTGAGGTTTCGTCTCGAGGCCGCTGCTGAGGAGAAGGAGCTAAAAGTCTTTCCGCCGTGGATTCGGCCAATCAACGCGGAGCCAAGTCAGTCCGCCGGGCCTTCATCGTCTTGGCCATCATCCAACAAAGGAACATCCCACAACTTTGCTTGGTTTCTCCACGGGGCAGGCCGGGTTCGTCTTTCGGTACTTGGTGATGCTAAACAATGAGACGCCGCATTGATGGTTCTTGGTAAATGGCTAGTTGCCGTCTAAGCGGTGCGGCTGGTATGCAGCGGTGCCTCATCCGAGCCTGTGCCATGGAAGGATCACAGTGGAGATCGTTTAGGCCATGTGCTCAAGAGAATTTGTCGGGTCGTCCTCGTGCTTCACGGCCGTGTTCACCTGGTGGGCGGGTGCGATAGCGAAGGTAGGTGGCCAACGGATCGCGAAAACGTACACTACCCCATGGGGTTGTGGAGCGAAACGGTTTACCAGCACCTTGGAAACCTTCTGGTGCGTTGTCGATCGCTGCCATCGATAAGGTCTACGGTGACCAGTTTGGAGGTAGCAGCACCGATCGAACGTGGACGTCGAAATGTCGCTTCCTGCGACACCCACTACCGCGGTGGTGAGAACACCACTACTTATAACGTTGCCCACGGAAAAGTATCCGTAAACTTCTGTCAGATGACGAACCGAGGTATTCAGGCGTACCGACAGCAAGAGGGGATATCCGAACGTCAAGGCCACCTGCTGCGTATCGTAGGCTGTGCAGGCAATGATGAAAGTCTAAGTATTACGAAACTACAAGCGCAACTATGGATGAAAGAATTGCTACATCGCCAGAGAAATAGATCGCTAACAAACCAACCAGGTCTCAAACCCACGCCTTCAACTCCCTCTCTGTCCACTCCCACAACTCCTTCGCCAACGCCCGATCCCGCCCCAGCTTCGTACTCGGCGTAGTCTTCACGCCCACCGGCTCATAATAAGCTCCATTGACCAAGTTCTCCTTCTTGGTAGTAGCCGCCCAAGTCTGGTTATACGCCCCCTGTTCCGCATCAAGCCAATTCCCGCCGGAGATAATATTAACAACCTGACGATCCATAAAGTTCGTGCTCGCGAAAAGGTCCGTCTTGATAAAGCCAGGATGCACCGCCACAGACGTGATACTCGGGTGACGAGCAGCCAGTTCAGTAGCGTAAAGCAGATTGGCTAGCTTGGACTGGCCGTAGCAGGCCCATTTGTTGAAGCTGAAGAAGGAGCCGTAGTTTGCGCCTTTGGTCTTGAGCTTTGAGAACTCGATGCCAGTGGAAGGCACGTTTTGTTTGTAAGCTACGGATGAGAGGTTGACGATGCGGACGTCGGCGTTTGGTTGCGATGCGGTGTCGAGCATGACAGGTAAGAGCAGCTTCATGAGTAGCGCGTGGCCGAGGTGGTTTGTTGCGAATTGGATTTCGTAGCCGTCTTTGCTTACGTCGTTAGGTACGGCCATGATACCTGCGTTGCACATAAGAACATCGAGGCGATCAGACGATGACAAGAACTGTTTGGCGGCAGATTGGACGGATGCGAGACTCGCGAGGTCGCACTCGATGAAGGTAACTTTGGTGGAGGGTGAGGCTATGGCGATCTTGGAGATGAGTTCATTGGCGCGAGCTTTGTTGCGACCGCTGAAGTAGATGTGCGCAGGGTTGTGAGATGCGAGAAAAGATATGGATGACGCTCCAAGACCGGTGGTGCCTGTAATGATTAGTGGGCTGCCAGATCGGACGTAAAGGACGCCACATACCACCAGTGATCAGGAACACTCGGCCAGACTGGTCGGGAATATCGGATGCGGGGTTGAACTTGATGTTGGACATTATGTCGAGAGGATCTGTTCAAGGTAGTAAGTTCG